TAAAAAGAAAAGAAGTTATCTTCTAATAAAAATAAAATTCGATCACACATTCTAGGAAGGGCCTCAAGAAGTTTAATTTCTTAAACTCATGCCATGTGCAGCAACATGGATGGAGCTGGAAGGGATTATGCTCACTGAAATAAGTCAGAAGGAAAAATAAAAATATCAAATGGTTTCATTTATAGGAGGAATTTAAGAGAACCAAATAAGACATGGGGGGGGAAGCATATTGTTATTACAATATGAAACACAACAAAACAAAAACAGACAATTATACACCAGAGAGATCCTACAGGAGAGAGGGACAGAGAGGGATCAGAAGGAGGGGGTGGGGTGGAGGGGAAGTAAACATTGTTGTTAAATGAACAATAATGTAAATAGATATATAAATAAAAAATTTGAAAAGATCTTTAAGTGACACTGAAATTTAATAACTGAAAAAAAAAAAGAAGTTTAATTTCTCCTTACAGGAACAATTTGCTATGTCCAAATCAGAGTATTTGTGAGCATATACATGAGTTAAAAGGAAAAAAAATTCTATGGTTGTTAGAGCACTAAATTCCTAATCATCAAGCATATATTGACATTTAGCTACCAATTCACTTTGTTAGGTCACAGGATCGCATGCTTATTTAGATTTTTCATGCCATAGTATTAACATGTCTTTAAAAGCAAAGAAATAAAAACTGCTATCTCCTACCCCTCTTTGCCAAAATCATTTTTTTCATTCTTAGTTTATATTTTTTACTCTACTTATTCATGCATATAAAGCGATCAAAAGTTCTTGTTGTAGACCACCTTCAAACAGAAATGAGATGCTTTCTTTTCTTTCTTTAAGTCACAGCCTTAAAATCTTGCTACTAACTAAGCCTTTCCTACCATACCTTTGATACTTGAGACATAAGGATTTCCTTTTGGTCAACCACATGGATTACCAGTTTTTAGTTAATAACTTGCTAACTCTTTAAAGTTACTTGTCAGTGATTCAAAATATATGCAATAAAGTTATTCATTCCTGATGGCATGTTAAACGAAAGTGGAGCCCATTTATACAAACATTCATGCGTGGGTGATAATCCAGATAACTGAATGGCTGAGAGCTGAGAAAAAGTTTTTTTTCTAACTTTTCACTAAGGAATAATATACACACAGACAGTTGCGCATCATGTGTACAGCTATTACAGACAACACAGTTCTCACAAACTGAATGCACCTGTGTGGCCAGCAATAGGGTAAAGAAACAAAATATTGCATTCCAAAAAATACCTTTATGCTTCCTTCCAGGTCACTCCAGGCACTTCACCCAAGGCACTAGCTTCATTAGCTTTACAAGGCTCCTCAGGTCATTCAAATCTGCAGCCAGGGTTTACTACTACCTTTTCCCAGCAAGAAAAGGTCAAAGACAACTGACATGCAAAAGAACCAGCCTACTAAACATGTCTACTAGTTTATCTTCCAATTCTCTCAATACTGCTATATTACCAGGCAGCTCACCAGAAAATTAGCTTACCTGTAAATTTACTCTAGCATCTATAAAAAAAAGCCTATGTCGGGGAGTCCTCCCTGGTGGCACAGCGGGTTAAAGCACAGCACTAAGAAGCTAAAGCCACTTCTGCATGAGTTCGAGTCCCGCCTGCCCCAGAGGTGACCACATGGCGCCGCAGACCTCTCCTGACCCACCGGCTGCTCTCCTCAGCAGTGAACTTCATCGATCTGCCTGTTCTGCTCCCCACTCTGTCTCTGGTGAAGCCTCTCGCCGCCCCTGAGCCTCTGGCCTGTACCCCAGTTCTATATGAACAAATAAATCTTTAAAAAAAAAAAAAAGCCTATGTCAAAATAGCTACATTAAGAACTCTACATTTTGGGAAAACTTGCAAAAATCACTATATGCAAGTTATTCTTTGTTAGTATGATCAGTAAGTTTCTTCTTTAAAGTCAAAATTAAGGTAATCTTTACTCCAATTGGCAATTATCCTTTTACTAGAAAGCTTTTGTAAGTTATAACTCATGAATTCTCCTTTTGATCACAGCTGCCAAGAACTAAAGTAGCTTTCCTGAGCCTAAATTTTCTGACAAT